TTGCAACTGCTACGCACATCATGAATGTATTGTAGAATTTTTGATTTAGGCAGGTAGATTATTGTACTTGTTTTCAATACTATTACATTAAAAACCCTCCTTGCAAAGAAGATCTTGCCGCCCAGAACCTGTAGTTGGACTGGAATGAGATAGTGGCAACAGTTGGTCTGCAAAAAGAAAGTCGAGATGGCTCGGACAGCTGCTACCAAAGCCAGAGAGAGTGCAGACCTTTTGACACAGTTGGATGAGATACAGGCTGCTGGATCTGAAGGGGGAGCCCCCTGTCCAACCTGTTCCTGCACCAGTGCTAAAAGTGACTGTCCCGAGGGAGAAGAAGCTAAGAAAGTATGCTGGTGGTAGAGACGACAATGTAATATTGAATAATACAACCTTATTGAAGCCTTGTTATTGGTTTCATATTATCATGTTTCGCATACTCATGGGCAGTCCCTTGTATCCTCTGGCAGACGACATCCAGTATCATGCCTCGATGAGTGGGTGTTGGAAATCGCTGCTGTAGAGTTGAGACCGCGCAAGAAGCAGCGTTATGCTTCCTTTTATGAACAAGGACGTGCTACTAAGTCTCAGTAAATGCTAATCAAGTCAATTTTGTGTTTATTTATTTATGATTTCGTACACGTCTCCGGTAATCGATTGCTCTATTTTAGCTACGGATAAAACAGGCAAAGGTGACACAGATGAAGCATCTGAGGGAAGTCTTAAAGGTTGTAAAACTGGTTGTTAATAAAAAATACTCCTAGAAAAACTCCTAGTTCAACTAGGCAGGTAAGACTTCAAACGAAAAAAATTATTTTAAAAGATCAATATGAGTCAATTGCAAAATACCCTGCAAGCAGAGGTTTTTTTCGGACCCTTCGTGGGCTGGTTGGTCAGGGAGAAAAAAAATACCTCAAACGGTCGTTTTGTTTGTTAAGCATGCGTCACAGTTACCCTGGAATATACAGGTAGTGACAAAATTAATCGTTTTTTCACTGATAGTTAACTCAGAACTTTAAATGACCTTACCAACAACTATAAAGAGACAGAACTTCTAATATCAAGTGAGCACCTAAGGAAATCCTTTAATAAATGAGAATCGTTTCTATCCTCGACAGATCCCTGATGTTAATTGGATATTCATATTAATAAAACTCATTTATGTATAGAATACTGAAAGAACCCATAACAAACAGGTAGACAATAACCTGTTTTTTTCCCAATTATATCATATTTTATTGTATAATAAAGAAGTCCTGTTAGTTTTAATGTGGTTAAATAATAAATTTAAGCAAAGTTAAACTCCAACTTAGTAGCCTGTTATGGCTATCTGTCACACAAGTATGTGATAAGCAAACAATTGATGCTTGGCTCGCAGCTTCAACGCTATCCAATAGTCCAAACAGTCCAAACGGAAATCCACGTTTGAGGAGTCGTTCGGGGAACCTCAGAGGTCTAGGCGCCGCTTATCCAAGCATGCCAGAACGTTGTTATACTTATGGTTCTTACAAAAAAAATTGTTCCGTTTTATTTGTTCTTTAGCTTTAGCTATCTTGTATTGCACTCTATAATTTTCGCTCATAATCTTGTCTAGACAGTTCAAGTGCATTTAAATTGTGTATTGTCAATTGTCTGGAACGTTTCAATGGTCTTGGGACATTTTGTTCCATCGTTATTTCTTTTCTGCATGTTAGGCTTTACATGAAACGCAGACAAGGTCATTGGTATTTTAATGCATATATGAGATATATATATATACATATAAAGAAAAACCTTTCCTGCAAGGACTTTTGTGTTATCTCATCTCTCTATGCTGTCATACCTTTAAGCGCGTTATATTTACAAAACCTTGATACAATCTTTTCGCGTAACCATGCTATTAAAAATTTAGCTTTGCTGTCAGTCTGGCCTCTATGATTGGCTGCGGCGTTATTAGGACGTCTTCTAGCTGTCTCTGTAGGTCCCTTTACATCTGGACCCTCTTACACGTTTATTTTGTTAATTTTTCGTTCTTTTCGAGACCCGTGTTATCGTCAGAATAACGTTTTCTTTTCTTTGCGTTTAGGATTCCGATTGCTTGGAGGGCGATGTAGCCAAAAGGTTAGTATTAAGCACCCTTTTTCGCTTCTTTTTCCATATAAGCTTACATAAGCGTTTTTAGAATATTAGCTAAAAAGTTTATYTTTTGCTTCAGCAATTTCATTCTAGCCAAAATGGCAGGATTCAAAAAACACCAACAAGAAGATGGTAAGTTTGATGTATTTTGTATTATTAGGCTTCATTGACTGAAAAGACGAATGTGCAGCTGGTTGCAACGGAGCGAGAGAGCGATGAGGTGCAGAGGATGCCCCAGCGATTCCTGCCAACGAACAGCAGCTGCAATCTCCCATGTTCTGGGATAAAACTATCCTTCATCAACTGCAGTGTCCCATGCCATGTCTACCCCGCCTATAGAAATAGTGCTGCTGTGCATCAAGTGCTGGTAAGAACCTTGGAGGCCTTCAAGAGCCAGAGACAAAGGCACTTCCAGTAAAAAATATATATAATAAAAAAACCCACAAGAATAAGGACCCAAAAAAATACTACCTTTATGCGTATTTGTAAACAACACTTTTCCAAACCATAACTTTTTTGTAAGACAAATTTATTTTAATTTTTAATAACAGAATCATAAACGAACATGCTTCATTTGCTCAGTTGAAATTAATGAAGAA